ACCCTGGCGAGGACTGTGCTTCAGACTGCTGTACATACCCTGCAGGATGTGGTTTTAAAAGCAGTACAGCGGGCTTTACCAAACAAAGCTCTAAATATCTAAGAGAGAGATTGCAAGACCCAGCCAGCACTAATCCACAGCTGCTCTGAAACCACTCTGGGTCACGTTCTCATTCCCAGCATATCAGCACTGCCCCAAGGAAGCTTACCTGGCCCAGCCATATGGACCACGGCCGCAGGCGGAACATGAGAAGCACAACTAAATTTTGCTTCGAGCTGCCCTGGTGCATCGACCATCTGTGGGGCTGCATGTTTGCCCCGTGTTTGCCTCAGCCACCCCACTTTCTCCTTATCTCAGTGCAATCAGCACAAATCCAGTGACAGCATCTCTCCGTGCTTTGCAGTGCCACAGAAGCATTTCTGCATCTTCCCAAGGGCGAGGTGCTGAGCAGCCTCCCACAAACAGACTAGCTGGCAATGCCGTTCCTGCTCTCTCTCTGATTTGTGCAGAGCATGCCCACCACGCCATGGGTTTCTCCTGCTGTTTGGGTGTGGATAGAAGCCTTTGCTATATGTGACATCTGATGGTGATGAAAGCATTGTGAACCAGTCAATATGCCAGTCACTTCATTTGGTAAGGCTCATGCTGATGGCTTTGTAGATGGAAAGAGGACATTGGTATATTCTACCTGTGATTGCCATATCAGTCTCACCCTTCACCAGAGCAGTTCAGAGGGGAAAAGCCACTAAGATGTGAAGAGCAGAATATTGTACAAACAGCTGACATCAAAGGAAAACGGGTCACTTTGTTGTTCAGTCTGTAAGGCTGCACCCACAGCTTTGCACAGCCTGTAAGCTGTTATCTGTGCCACAAATGCCAGATTGGAGGTCACTGACTGTGAAACTGTGTATTGAGCGTGAACCCTTTTGGTACTTGCATGAAACCATTGAGTCACAAGTCAATTTGTAGCCTACTGCTCTCTAAAGCCTTAGATTCTTAGCACACAGATTCTTAGAAAAGGAGAAAAACAAAACTTACAGGTGTGTGCAGCTGGCACATAGGAGATGACCTGGTTTCTGAGGTTTCAAACTGCTACTTGGTGCTGGTTGCAATCAGCCTCCAGTTTTGGCCAGTCATCCTACAAGTCAGCTCTGCTGAGTGTTGTTGTGAACCATACTGTTGGCCCTGATCCCCAGCGTGGAGCTAAATGAGTCAGGAGCAGCAAGCTTCTCCCTTCACAAAGTCCCCACACTTCAGCTTCAGCAGTGGGTCTGGATGCCATTTGGATCTGGGCACAAAGGGGTGGCACAGCCTTGGATGCCTGCCTGCACTGGCAGAACAGTGTCCTATTAGAGCAGGTAGAAACCTCACAGCTCTGCAGGGATCCAGCAGATCACAGCCAGTGACTGCATGGCTCCCCAGGCCTTAACACAACTGACAGAACAGGAGGCCATAGAATAAGATCATCTTTAATGAGAGGAATACAGAAATGCAATGCATCATGGAGAGAGCAGAGCGCTACAAGCAGCCCGTCCTGGCAGGGAGCTGGAGGGCTCTCCAGGCAAAAACCCACACTGTCTTCTGCCAGCAGCAAGTTCACAAAGCAGCGCCAGGGCAGGGTGCTGGTGCTCTTTGGCACTGGCTGTGGTTTCGTCGTGTGAAGGAGCCACTGGCCCCAGTGCCTTCCTGCTTCACTTGCGGGCCTTGGCAGTTGCCAGCTGGCTGTACTGTCCATCGTTCCGCTCACCAAGGGGCTAGGGAGGAAAAAAGGCAAGTTACAACTGTGCCTGCCCAGCCTTGCGGGGCCAAGTCTCCCCTTTGCCAAGCTTTTGGCAAGCTCCCTCCACCCCCCTCAAGCTTAACAACCCCAGAGAGGGCAGAGGGCAGCTGAGCCTGCACCGTCCTACAGGTCGCTCAGGGGGAAGCCGCTGTGAACCTCCCAGCAGTGACAGCACCACACCACGCCTCCCCAGCAGCTGTGCCATCATGGCCATGTCATTCCAGCCACGTGGAGCTGCTGACACCTATAAATGCACACAAAAAAACACACACACGTGCACGTGCATGCTCACCTGGTAGAGCTGATCATTGGCTATCAGGTTCTGCCTGTCAGAAGCTAAATAAAGAAAGACTGCGGTCAAAGATCAGGAGGAACCATGGGCAACGTGGTGAACATTTGCAAACAAACCCAAGTAGCTGGCTGTTTTGACTTCCTCTGGTAGATATGGCAGAAAGCTGCTGTCCTGGGGATGATGTTTTGGAGAGCTTTGTATGATTGATGGCCTCTCCCAAGAAGCTAAGCTAGGGGCATAAAGGGTACACGGAGTGATCCCTCCCAGGGCTGCCCTGGACAAGCTGGCTGCTGGCTGGTGCCTGTGTCACACTGTTACTGAGATACATGGCAGTGATGGAAGTCCCCAGGTACCATGCAGCCCCAGAGATGCCCAGGCCCCCAGGCACTTCCTGTCCCCACCCATGAGTAGGCTCTCCCCTCACCTCGTGACATGCGGCCCTTATCTTGCCCGCTGATGCAATACACAGCAATTGCCAGGAAGACAGTGGCGACAACATCTGCGACCACAATCCCTGAGATGGTGGGAGCGTCCACTTCAATGCAATTCTGGCACACTGGAAACACAAAGAACACAAAGACTGAGAACAAGATCAGTACCGGGAACTTGCCCCTGGCCTCCAACTCCAGTGGCTGTCTCTATTCTGCCTCCTGGGTTGATCTGAGCCCAGATTGCTCTGCCAGCTCAGGCAGGTTCTACTCTCGGGACAGTGGAGACCAGAGATTAAGCTTGGTTTTCCTGCGTGACCCAACCCAGGGGCACAAGCTGTCATGTGTGCCCAGCACTCTGAGCTAGCCATCCTGGAATAGCAAGCCACAGCACAGGCAGGAATGGAACCACCCTCAGGCTCTGGGAAATCAGTATTTCGCTTAAAAACTGGCCTATGTGAAAACTCTAGAGCAGTCCTGGCTCTAGAAATTGAGCTTCAAACACTCACTTCGATAGTGCACCTGGAGAGGGGACGGTTTATCGTTGCCACCCAGCGAACATGTATAGACGCCTCTGGGATCGTCGTAAATTGCACCCAAGTCCAGCTGTGTCATGTTTCCTAAAGGATATTCGCCTTTCTTCCATACAATGTCTTTTTTTTGCTCTTCTTTGGTTGTTTGACATTGCAGGAACACCTTCCCACTGATTTCTTTCACAATTATGTCCGCTCCTGTAAAATAAAAGAGAGCAGAGAATTTCATGGCTGCATTCTCAGCCCTCACAGTGGTGCAGAGCTCCTGAGTGTCCTTGGTAGAGACGGCTGCTGTAGAAGCATTGCATTAAGTTTTTCCCTGAGCAGTGAAAAGGATGCTGCAGACTGAAATCTCTACAAAAAAAAACAAATTGCTCAGTGGAAAAGCAGTCCAATGTTCAATAGACAGTTACTTAATGCACCTCTAGTATAGATCCAATCCCTCTCAGAATGAAAATTAATTGGAACCAGGCATCTGCCTGGGCTCTGCTCAGTCTGCACACACGTGAGGATGATCCTGCACACAGAGCACATCACTAACAGAGTGCCACTACGAGAGAGACATTCCAACAGCGAGTGATACCTTTCCCTTAAACGCAAAGTCAGGAGCAAAACCTCAGGAGCAAGGCAAAAGAAAACATGGAGGATGATAGCGGAAACAAGCATTCCTAAGGAAAACCATGCAAAAAAACCCACAGAATTGCTCCTTTGGCCCCTTTGCCATCCCCACGTCCCCTGTGCTCCACTGGCAGCAATCAGTGGGCAGCACCCAATGCCTTTGGGACTTACCGTGGACGCCCAACTTGGCCACAGCCACGCTGGCAAGCAGCAGCCAGGTGCCCAGGGCCCGTCCGTTCCACATGGCTCAGAGCGACGGCAGCTCTGTGTGCTGCTCAGGGGAGAGGAGGCGGGGAGAGCTCTGATCGTGAGGAGTGGAGCTTCGTCAGGCAGCGGAAACACGGGGCTGAGGCTCCCCAACAACAACAGCCTCCTCCACCCCACCACAACGCCCACAGGGGGGCATGGGGGGAAGGTGTGTTAAGTTCTTTACAGAGAGAGCGGTGAGGTGCTGGAACAGCTGCTGAGAGGCTGTGGATGCCCCGTCCATCCCTGGAGGCGTTCAAGGCCAGGTTGGATGGGACCCTGGGCAGCCTGGGCTGGTGTGAAATGTGGAGGTTGGTGGCCCTGCATGCAGGTGGCTGGAGATTCGTGATCCTTGAGGTCCCTTCCAACCCTGGCCATTCTGTGATTCTGTGTGTGCCCTCACTGCACAGAAAGCCAAGCAGACCCTGGGCTGCAACCAAAGCTGTGCGCTGTGACAGCTCACCTGGAGCTCTGCGTCCACAGGTGGAGTCCTCAGGGCAGGAGAGACGTGGAGCTGCTGGAGCGCGGCCAGAGGAGGGACACAGAAATGGCGGCAGGGATGGAAGCCCTCCCTGCGAGGACAGGCCGAGAGCTGGGGCTGAGCAGCACGGAGAAGAGAAGGCAAGAGAAGGAGAGCTGAGAGCAGCCCGTCAGCATCTGAAGGGGCTGTGAGAAGGGAGGGGACGGACTCTATAGTGGGTCTGTGTGATGGGAGAAGGGGAGATGGCTTCAGACTACAGGAGGGGAGATTGAGGTGGAGCTGAGGAAGAAGGTTTGGCAGTGAGGGCGGTGAGGCGCTGGCACAGGTTGCCCAGAGAGGCGGTGGTGCCCCGTCCCTGCAGACAGCCAAGGTCAGGCTGGACGGGGCTGTGAGCACTGCTGAGCTGTGGGTGTCCCTGTGCGCTGCAGGGAGCGGCACCAGGCGGCCTTCAGCTCCCTTCCACCCAAACCATTCCCCTCCCCAGGCCGCACGCACTCGCGGAGCCGCTCCCCGCCCTGCTGCGTCTCCTCCCGGCCGCCCCATGGCGCTGTGGCTCCGCTGTTCCCGTGGTGCCGCGGGGCGGAAGATGGCGGCGGGCGCGGGCTCTCTGGTGGCCGCGGTGTTGGCCCATTCGGGCCGCCTGGACAAGGAGGATTTGGGCACCCGCATCGGGCGGCTGTCCCGCCGTGTGGAGGAGCTGAAGGCAGGACCGCGGGGCGGGCGGCGGGGCGGTGCCGGTTTCGGTGTCGGTGACGGTGACGGCAGTCTCTCCGCAGGGCGAGGTGTGCACCATGATCACCAAGAAGTACAGCGAGTTCCTGCCCGGCATGCAGAGCGCCGAGGAGCTGGTGGTCAGGGTGGACGGGCTGGCCCGCAACATCGACCTGCTGAGGGCCGGCGTGGAGAACGAGGTCACCGCTTTTGTCCGTTTTCTCCGGGTTTAACCCCAAACTGTGCCTCCCCCCCCCAGCCCCGGTGTTTGCAGAGGGCGCGGAGGGGCGGCGGCACCGCGGGGCTCCTTTGGTGACACGCGGTGCAGGGCAGGAGCAGCCCGGTGGAGCTGGGCCCGTGGCAGAGCATAACGGGAGCACTGAGCTCCTTCTGACGGCCTTTGGTGCCTCATCTCCTTCCCACGCCTTGAAAAAACCTCTGATGTACACAAAAAGAAGCCGTTTGGTGGAGTTTCTCGTGCTTATAAGGATCCTTACGGCAGAGAGCGTGATGGGCGGCCGTAGAAATTACAGACACGGTCATTATCAGGTGGCACAGCAGGTGTGCTGGTAACGCCAACCTCCTGTCCTCCTCCCTGAACCATTCTGGGCAGTGGAGCCACGGGGTGGCAGCCAGCCCACAGCAGGGAATGGAACCAGATGGCCTTTAAGGTCCCTTCCAACCCAAGCCGTGATCCCGGTACAAACGTTTTCTCTCTCGTGCTTTTGTCACCATCAGGAGGAAATCTTCCCACTAACATTTGGCTGTAACTGAAGGTTTTTATTTCAGGTTCAGCGGGACCTAAACGTTGCTGTGGCTGAATTCACTGAACTGAAGCAGCAGCTGGAGCAGGACACGCTGGTTCTGAGCATCCTGAAGAAGCTGCAGGAGGTGAGGAGGGAATGTGGGAGTGCAGCTTCAAGTCACTGAGCAGTAGTCTGCTGCTCTGCCTGTGGCACCATGCTGGGCTTCTCTTTCGAACAGCTAACTGCAGCTCCTCTGTCTCTACCTGCATTGTTAAAAATCTCGTAGTCTGATAGCAGATACACAGTTATATATGATCCTCCTTGATTGTTGCAGTTTGATACGGCTCTGAAAGAGTACAACACTGCACTGCTGGAAAAGAAGTACATTGAAGCAGCTCAACAACTGGAAAAGGTGATAATGATTTCTTAAACGTATGGCAAAATTGTGGAGAAATACTTTCAGTAGGTTTCGCAAGGCCTGCAGTTACCCATGGCTTGTGTTTGACCTTTCCCACCAGGCACGAAGCAGCCTGAAAATGCTGGAATCCCGCAAGGGCTTTGAGCTGAAGATCCTGAAAGCACTGGGCACAGAGCTCACGGTGCAGACACAGAACATGCTCTATCATTTGGGAGAGGAATGGCAGAAATTGGTTGTGTGGAAGCTTCCTCCTTCTAAAGGTACTCTCAGTTCTAATAAGGGACTGATTCTGGGTCCGTTGTCCTGCGTGGTGACACAAGATGCTCGGTCCTCACTTCTGATGCTCTTTACAGGAGCCACGTTTTGTGGAAATGGAGAGAGGTGGAATATTGCTTTAGCCACCAAATGAGAAATGCAGGAGCTCCTCAGATCTGCTACATCTCAGAACGTGCTTTACCAGAGAGTTGTTTCTTCCTTTTCTTTAGAAACCGTCGGCCCAGAGTCAGTGATGCATTCAGAATTGCACTTATGCACACTGCCATCAAAAGAGGAAGAGATTGCAGGCCCACCTGTTGCTTCTGTGCTGCAGGCCTTTGCTGTCCTTGGAGAACTGCGCACCAAGCTGAAAACTTTTGGTAAGGCAGCCCTGGCTTTTTCTGTTGTTCTTTGTTTTGCATTAAAAATGCTGCTCTTTGCCGGGCCTCCATGAGTTTTGTATAGGTGAAATGGTCTTTAGTGAAACCAGACCCAATGCTTTTTGCCTCTTGAATGTTCTCTGGTGCAGCTAGTCCAGGTGGGGTTTCTTCCACCTCATGTGGAGAATCTCTGAATCCAAGATAGGTGGGCTTCCCTGGAAATAAACCTGCCTGCCTCCTGCTGTTCAAAACCATACATTTATTTATTTACTTCATTTCTCAGGCAAGCTGTTGCTGAAATATGTCCTCAAGCCACTGATTTCGTACCCATTTCTTCAGCCATTCGCAGAAGAACAGTCAGATGTGGTCATTCTAAAGTTCAAGTCTGAGAAGCCTGACTTGGATCATTCTTCTCCTGTGGAGGTTTTTGACAAGATAAAGTTTGTTCTTGAAGTTCTCCACAAATACCTGCTGAGTAAGTTGTCTCCCTTTTGGCCTCAGTCTGAGTTGCATTTCAGCACCTTGTTCTTGTAGTTGGAGTGGAAGCTGGTTTTTAAGCAGTTGTCTGCAAGATCTGAGCAGCTTTTAATACTGAAAAATTCAGATAAATTCAGACATTGATCAGAACTGCACGTGGTTTGGATATGAGGAATATCTTCATTATGAAATGGTGGAACAGTTGAAGTACACTCTTTTGAAAGACAGGAAGACTTGAATGAACTGGTGAAGGGTCTTGTCCAGGAAGCAGGTATAGTAAAACCCTCTTCTGTTCTCTTCAATTCAGATGTGCCTGTTGAGCAGTGTGTGGAAGACAGAAAGGAGGGCAGAGTGACGCTGGCAGAACTGCTGGGTGATATGATATGGGAAGAGCTGTCAGACTGCCTCATTCAGAACTGCCTGGTGAATTCGATCCCAACCAACAGCAGCAAATTAGAGCAGTATATAGAGGTAGGTCTCAAAGTCTTTCAGGTTTATTTAGTGGAAATACCACATGACCATCTTCAGCAGAAAGCTGCAGCTAAAAGACGATTTCTGTGTGATCGTGGCCTCCACCTGAGCCAGCTTTTTCTTTTGCTGAGAGCTGTTAGGCAGTGATCTTTACAGCCAGGTTTTATCCTTTACTTCCAGCTGAGTGGAAGAATTTCTATCCAGCTTTAATTTTGTTGTTTGATTTTAGGAAACTTGCAGTCCACAGGTATCGATGGAGAATGTCTGCTCTTTTCAGGTGATTAAATCTACCGAGGAATTTGAAAAAGCCTTGAAGAAAATGCAGTTTTTGAATGGAGACACGACAGATTTACTGAAATACGCCCGTAACGTCAATTCCCACTTTGCTCACAAGAAATGCCAGGATGTGATTGTGGCAGCCAGAAACCTGATGACCTCAGAAATACACAATACTGTAAAGGTACTGCTGATGCACCATCCTGTTCTTCTCTGTGGGAAAATAACGTGGCTGTTGAAGAAGGCTTGTCTAGGACAGCTGAGTCCTTCTTATGGAGGACTACTATTTGGGGATCCTGGCAAATAAGAGCTTCAGAGTCTTTTTAGAAGGTACTCAAGTAGGTTATCTCACCAGCTAGGTATTAAAATACCCAAAGCTTACTTCTGTAGGTTTTTTTGACCAGGGTTAGAAAAAGAAAAGCCAACGTAGAGATTCACTTGCAGGGCTTGCTTCTAGGCATGAAACTGTAGGCTTTCATGACCTTCTGTGTCATTCATAAGTCATGAGAGCTCCAGCAGTCTCAGAGCATTTCTGCAGCTTAATGCTTACCGTGAGGCTCAAATCAGTGTTTTCTGACCTCACACAGTCTCCTTTCTCTGGGCTCTGGTTATAGTTATGCTTTTCTTTCGTTTTCCCTTAGATCACACCTGATTCCTGCGTAGCCCTACCAAAACTTCCTGATCCTGGATCTGGAGATCATGTTAAAATGCAGAAGGCTTCTAAACTCCTTCCTAACGAGGTGCTCAGTTTGGACAATGACTCTAAGCTGAGCCAGTACACGTTTTCTTTGCCCACGTGCCGTATCAGTGCATCGGTGGAGAAGCTGATGGAGCTGGCTTATCAGACACTGTTGGAGACTACAGCCAGCACAGATCAGTGGTAGGAATTACATCTCAGCTTGTAGCTTCTGGGAGTCAGATATGTATTGCCTTTGGCAACACTAAGCATTTGCTAATAGATTAGAAGGAATTCATGAGAGCAGAGGGTACTTAAAGATTAGAATTAATCATTAAAGCTGTGCTGTGTTTTGGCTGAAGGCTGCGTGCCTGGGTTTGTGCAGTAGGTTGGTGCAGCAGGAGCACTGGTTGAGCAGAGCAACCTTTCAGGCTCTGGTTTCAGGGAGCATTCAGGTGGGTTTTGCCATATTTGAGCAGCAGTGGCAGCGCAGGGCAGTTCACAGCCTCAGTCTCTTGTTTGGGAGAAATGCTACTGCTGTGTTCACTGCCGTATCTATCGTGTGGTCTGTTTCTGTTGTTTGAAAAGATAAAAGCCATTTCTTTTGTTCCAACCCAATAAGGGATGGCACCCTAAGGTTCAGAGGTGAGTTCTTGCTTTCTTTTTGCATGCGTGTTGAGTGAAAGCAAAAAACTCCAGCTCTGCATCTGTCAGGGCTCCTGAAAGAAAGCAGTGGAATGTTCTGAGAAGCTGCATACAGCCAGCTCTAAAAACTGGAGCCCACAACCCTGCAGAGGGAGAGTTTCCCAGGTACTGAATGCCCTGCACTGTGCTGTGGCAGCGAGGGCTGAGTACACGTGCATACCTGCTGGGAGGGAGGACACTGCTCCCTTTGTTTGTGGGGTCTCACGTATCTCTGTTCCGACTTGTGCTCTGAAGCTCATCTCCTCCACGCTGAACTTTCAAGGTCATCACAGCTCTTGTGAGAAGCCTTTGTGAATTGTGGAGGATGTTGCCTTTATTGCCATTCCCTGGTTGATTTTTCATTTGTTCATTAAGGAGAATGTGCTTTACCACTAACAAAACCTTTTTTAAGAGAGGGGCGAGAGTCACTGGGCGCACAGATGTTAATTCAGACGAACTGACGTGAGCCTTGTTTTCCTTGTAGCTGCATACAGCTCTTCTACTCCGTGCGGAATATATTCCAGCTGTTCTATGATGTAGTGCCAACGTACCACAGGTAAGTGTGTGATGTGTGACTTCAGGCCTGCTTTGCAGTCAGCACAGCGCTGTTGGAACCATCCCACTCGATCTCTCTTTTGTCCAGCGAGTCCAAAAGCTGCTGAGGACTTCCTCTGCTGGGAAAAAGCTGTTGCTTTTACCCCCTAAATAAATCATACCTGTTGCAAATTATTTGCTTGAGAGTTTCTTAGCTGGCGGTCTTATGATCAAGGAGATGGCTTTTCATATTTCTTTTGGCATGAATGAGACTGGCTCTGTGCCTGCTGGCCCTTGCATGGGTGGGAGCGCAGGCAGCAGGAGCTGAAGCTGCATCTTCAGTATAAAACTGAGTCTTGCAACCTGGGTCTTACAAACCTCTGTCATATCCAGCTACTGAATGGAGCCCTCACCCTTGGCTTTGTCATGGGGTGGCCTTTAAGATTTTTCATGTTGCTTTCCCTGTAAGAAAGAGCAGCAATGAGGATTGTATACTTCCCTTCCAGCTGGTGGCTTTATCAAGCATTGCTTGCAGTGCCTCCTTTGCAACATCGCTTTCAGTCAGACTGTTTCTGCAGCGTCCGTATGTCAGTTTAACAGAGCCAGGCCTAAATACATACATTTCTTCCTCTCCTCTCCTTCCCGAGACAGAGAGAACCTCCAGAAACTGCCCCAGCTTGCAGCTATTCACCACAACAACTGCATGTACATCGCTCACCACCTGCTCACCATGGGGCATCAGTTCCGGTACCGCCTGACCAGCATCCTGTGTGATGGAGCAGCTACTTTTGTCGACCTGGTGCCTGGCTTTAGGAGACTTGGTAATTTTACTTTTCAGTCTTGAAGTACCTCGATAGGTGATGTGGTAATTAATGCTGGTTTTTGTTGCTGAATGATTCAGAATGTATCCACTGACTCAAACAGGCTGTTAAGCTGTTATTTACGAGTTTGGGGCAAGGAAATCTTGGCAGGGAGGTGTGTGGAGCTCCTGGCTCTAAGCAGTACAGCTGTAGAGGACTGGGCTATTTAAACAGGGCTCACCTTGTCTGGTGCATAGTTCTAAGAGCAGACTGTTACCAGTGAGGTGTTGTGCACACAGATATTTGGGGATCTGCTGCTGACTATTCTGACACTTTCTTTAGGTTATTCTTTGGGAGCAAGTTCTGAAATAAGCTGCCATTAGCTTAACAGGAGCCTGTCATCCACAGTGAGCCCTGCTGCTCAGCTTTCTCAGAGTCCAAGCTGTGCAAGAGCTTATTGAATGCAGTGGCTGGGCCTGATTGAATTGGCTCTGTGAGAATGACTGGAGACTGGAAATTTCTATTAAAAATACAACATCATGGCAGGTTTATTATTCTGCACTTAGTCTCTAAATCAGCATCAGCAGAACAAACAAATAATTCCTTAATTGCTTCTCTCTGCTTGTTTTTTTCTCCTAAAGGGATGGAGTGTTTTCTGGCCCAGATGCGAGTGCAGAAAGGAGAAATCCTGGAGAGGCTGTCAAGTGCCAGGAATTTTTCTAATATGGATGATGAGGAAAATTACTCTGCAGCAAACAAAGCCATAAGGCAGGTAGGCAAGGCAAAGCTGAAGCTGGATGTGCTGTTGTCTGTAGATGCTGTCCTTGGGCTGTGCCTCATTCTGTGGGATGCTGAGTTCAAGTCTGCTTGCACCAAGGCAGCAGTTTCTTAATCATGAAGTTTTCCTGCAGTACATCTCTATGTTCCGTTGTTCAAGGAAAAGGTGTCCAGTTTCTGATAAGCTGCAATGCAAACTGAAGCCATTGCTTTCTTTTAAGGAGCACCTGCTGAATGTGGTACTTCATTGCCTTACGCTTCTTTAGAGCTTGCTTTGGTCTGTGTGCAGTGCCCGTATCATTGTGTGCTTCTTCAGCATTCTTCTTGGTAGCACATCAGTAACGTGTAGCTGTTACACTGCAGGTACTGCATCAGCTGAAAAGACTGGGGAAAGTCTGGCAGGATGTCCTTCCAGTGAACGTGTACTGCAAGGCCATGGGCACCTTACTGAACACAGCGCTCTCCGAAATGGTCACTAGGATTGCTGCCCTGGAGGTAACTGCATGATGTGGACATGCCAAGCATAAGCATGGTCTGAACATTGGTGACCTCCAGGAGCTCTTCACAAGCTGAGGTTTCAGGGGAGCCAGTTTTGGTCTGTATCTTGAAGGCCCTTTGCTGTCAGTGAGGTGAACAGGGCTTTTCCTGTAGCAGCTGGGATGCTGTCTTATGCTGTGCCTGCCAAAAAGCTTTGCCTTCTTTGCTGTGCTGGCGCTCCCTGTGTTTCCTCATAAACCACTCAGACCTTCTTCATAACCACTCTGCCTCGCAGTGAATCTGCTCTTGAGAAGCACAAGCCTTGTTCTGAGGTGACTGCAGAGAACTTGATTAAATAGTATTTGTGAAATACATTTGCTTGAGAATATGAAATGCTTTTTGCCTTCATGCACACAGCCCCATTTTGGGGTTCGAGTTGGTTTTTGCCTTCATCTCACTTACTGTCTAGTGATCCAAAATCACATCCAGCAGCTCTTTTGTTAGCGATTTGTTCCATTCTTGGACATTCTTTGTTCAATTCTAGGACATCTCTGCAGAAGATGCAGACAGGCTGTACTCGCTCTGCAGGATCATGGTGGAGGAGGGGCCTCAAGTTTTCACTCCGCTGCCTGAAGAGGACAAGAACAAGAAATACCAAGAGGAGGTTCCAGTCTACGTGCAGAAGTGGATGACATTCAAAGAGCTGATGATCATCCTGCAGGCCAACCTCCAAGAAATAGTAGATCAGTAGGTATCTGCAGGCTCAACTGAAAAGTCTGCTTTAAATGCCATATAAGTAATTCTGGACTCAGGTTGCGTGCAGCTAACAGGCAACCAACTTGTTTTGCTTCCAGGCTTAGCACTGTTCCATGCTTGTAAATGCTTGATGCGTTTCAGTCTGCCTTAACCATTCATCACAGGAGTTGGACAACTGTTGTGACTTGATGTGAAAGCCCCAAAGGTTTGTTTCAATGTGAGGTTACCATGCAGTTTTGTTAACCAAAGCTCTTTCTCCCTTGTAGGTGGGCAGATGGGAAGGGACCTCTTGCAGCTGAGTTCTCCCCAGCAGAAGTGAAGGGTCTGATCCGAGCCTTGTTCCAGAACACAGAGAGGAGAGCAGCAGCACTGGCCAAGATCAAGTAGCTCTGCTAACTCCTACATGTTGCATCTTCTGATAAAGGACAGCGAACTGAATCTTTGATCTATTTCTGTTAGATTTGACCTTTCTTGTACTGGACTATAAAAGCATAGCATTGGGTGTGTGCTTCCTGGGGGCTTGACTGAGAGAGAGGTTTCCTGTATTTCCTCCCTGTGTTTAGGGCAAATGGTTTGGCTCTGTGAGTCTCAGACCAGGAAATCAGAGGTGAATAGCACATGGACACTAACTGCTTCTGCTCCATCTGCCAGGCAGGTGGAATTTGGGCTTGAAAGTGCCATTTCCTCCCTGGAGGCATTATGCACAGATCCTGGGTTTTGCTTTGAGCTGGTGGGTGTGCAGTCCCGCTAAAGAAGAGGTGCTTTCTGTGGTGTTTGCTAAATCCCATCCTCTTGCATTTCTGTAAGCCCAGCGTAGGCAGTAAGTCAAGTCCTCTCTCCAGCTTCTCTTAGTGAGAATGAGCAGTGCTGCAGGTGGGGCTGTCATGCAGGTGCTGTACATCATCTCAAGCTTGTTTGCCTCAGGGGCCTATAGAGGGATTTCTGTTTCTCACCCATCAATCTTTCTTACCTACAGTTTTACATCAGGGGCCACGCAGCCCCTTTGTCTCTTACCTCATCTGTCCCTGCAAATACAGATGAAACCCACGTTGGTGGTAGCATTTGGTCTCCTAAGAATGCTCAGGTGCCAAATTCTGCTCTTCCCCACCTGTTCTGCTCAGGTTTCCCTGTAGAGCAGACCTTGAAGGAGTGAAACTGGAGACCTCATTCCTTGTCAGCTGTTTACGGGGTCAGAGCATTTTGCACAAGTGGCAAAATTCCTCGTGCTTGATTTCTCATAGCAAATATCTTAAACCTGACTTTCTGTCTTCAGTCTCACTGCCAGCTATGAAAGCCAGTTCTGCTCCTTCCTTTCCCCTTCTGCTGATGAAGCAGTAGATCTGACATCTGGTGTCTTTGCAGTAGTAATTTTTCTGTCCTTTAAGAATGAGATAAACGTGGATAATACAAGAAGGGAATTAAGTGTGCACTCATAGCATTGTCCTTTACTTTACAGAAGGCTTTGAGAAATACGTGTTTATTTTAATTGGAAAACTCATCCATAGCTGCTGTTGAACCACAGCCCCGAGGCCACAACGTACCTCTTTGCACAAAAACTATTTCCTACCATGTAATGCTTGCAGACAAAAGTTTCAGTCCTTGAGAGCTGAATATTTTAATACCATTGGATCCTTTTCATTTGGGCTTTGATCTGAATTCTCTTTGCATTCCTGACCATGGGTGCAGAACTCAGCAGCTCACGCCGCATCCAGCCTGCAGGAAGGCAGCAGGGATGGCAGGCATCACTTGGACCTCCAGCTTTTCCTTTTATCTTGTGTATTATTTCCCCCCTTCCCCTCTCACAGCCCAGGGCTCAGAACGTTCCCACACCACTCGCATCTCCGGGGGAGTCCTTGTCCTTTCACACACTGCACTCAGTAAAAAACCAAACGCCGCTTCTCCCGTGGGCATCGTTCACAGAAATGCAATTTGCTATTTTCTTTAATAAACTGTTTATACCGGCCACGTGTTCTGGTGGTGCCTGGGGCCGTTCCTTTGGGGGTCATAGGAACAGTGGGAATTAGCCCTGGGCTTTTCTTCACTCAGATGTGCAATGGGCCGTGCGTTGATGCGGTAGGTTTTCCCTTGCTTCTAGTAGATCTGGGTAAAGAAAAGGAAAGGGACTGGGGTGAGGGCAGGGTGCTGACAGCAGCGCTGGCCGTGGGGTTTCTCTACGCAGTGCTGCCGTTTGCTGCCGTACCTCAGTGACGCCATAAATCCAGGGCAGAAGCTGAGGCACGTTGGTGTAAACCCCCGGGCGGTTTGGCTCAGCACAGCCCCGGCCCCAGCTGACGATGCCCACCAGGCGCCACGCCAGCTCATCCTGGCACACCAGGGCGCCCCCGCTGTCACCCTGCACAGAGCAGGGATGGAGCACAGCGGCGCTCAGCCCCGAAGCCCCTCTGCTGTGCTCCTGCCCCCGGCCGCCCATCACCTGGCAGGCATCGATCTTCCCCTGCTGGTACCCGGCACACAGCATCCTGGCCGTGAGCTCTCCTGCGTACATGCACGAGCTGTTGCACCTCTGGGTGCTGATCAACGGCACCAGGGCTTCCTTCAGCGTCTCGGTGAGCTGTGCTGGGGAGGGAGGGAGAAAGCAAGAAGGGGATGTGATCTTAGGGAGCAGGAGGGGACAGGAGGCACAGGAAGGATGTGGAGCTCTTGGAGCGGGTCCAGAGGAGGGCACTGAGATGAGCAGAGGGCTGGGGCACCTCTCCTATGAGGAAAGGTTGAGGGAACTGGGATTATTTAGATTGGAGAAGAAAAGGCTCTGCGGGGACCTCAGTGTGGCCTTCCAGTATTTGGAGGGAGCGTATGAACAGGAGGGGGAACGGCTGTTTACAAGGGTGGATGGTGATGGGACAAGGGGGAATGGTTTTAAACTGAGGCAGGGGAGGTTTAGGTTGGATATTAGGAGGAAGTTTTTCACCCAGAGGGTGGTGAGGCACTGGAACAGGTTGCCCAAGGAGGCTGTGGATGCCCCATCCCTGCAGGCATTCAAGGCCAGGCTGGATGTGGCTCTGGGCAGCCTGGGCTGCTGGTTGGCGACCTGGACACAGCAGGGGGTTGAAACTAAATGGTCATTTTGGTCCTTTTCAACCCAGGCCATTCTGTGATTCTGTGTGAAGATGGGGTCACACTGAGGGACTTGTGGGGCTTTAAGAGGAGGAGAAGCAAGTGGCAGAACTGCGCACACAGCACAGGAAGGGCCGACAGGGAGCACGGACAAGGCTTACCTTGGTCAGGCCTGGTGTAGCCCCAGCCCGACACCCAGCACGGCGTGCCTGGGAGCAGGTCCTGGTGGGAGGGCAGCAGGCACAGAGCTCCAATGGCGTCTGGTGGTGAGGGGATGGGCTGGGCCCAGAGCTGCTCGTAGCACAGCCCCGGGTGCCTTTCCAGAAACATGCAGCTCTGGCATCACCCAAAGCACAGCCCAGCTGCGCACACTGCTCCCCACATGGCAGGAGAGGCTGAGGGGCCTCACAGCAGCACTTTACCTGAGAAATTCAAGGGAACTCGCAGCTTCATCAGAGCGATGTCGTAGTCCATGCTGTTATCGTTGTACAGCGGGTGAGAAATAATTCTCTCCACCGGCACCCCAGCCTCCTGCATGGCCGAGCCATGAGCGACACCAGCATGCACCGTCCAGCCCGATGCGCTCTGCCATCGGTAGCTGAGGGGACAGAAGGGCCCCCGGGGCAGCCCAGAGCCCCCAGCACAGATCCTGCGCCCCCACCGCAGGTCCCGTGCTGAGGGCTACCCTGTACCTGTGCACGCAATGGGCGGCGGTGACGATCCAGCGCGGTGCCAGCACGGAGCCACCGCAGCGGTGCCGGGAGCCGTGGCGGATGCTCACCTGCCAGGGCCAGCGCCCAGGGGCAGCATCCATGCCCCCCACCACGCGGCCCCCGGGTGCCGGGCGCTGCCCGCAGGCTATGGCAGGGCCGGAGCTCAGTGGGCACGAGGGGTGGAGGTTGAAGGTATGCAAAGAAGGGGGAACCCACCTGAACACTGCAGTGCCACGACGCGGCCCGACTCACAGCTGCTCCTGTGTGTGGGGACCGCATTCAGGGAGCTGCCCGCTGGGTGAAGGCAGCGCCTGCCTGTTCCTCCAGCACGGCCCAGGCCAGCCCTCACCTGATCTGCCACACGTCACCCAGGCTGGACCCCACCTGGGCAAACTCCTGCCCGTCCTCCACCCTCACGTCTGTCAGGTTCACCCCCTTCTGATGTATTGCTCTGCAGAAGGAACAGCAGCAGCCCAGGGAGGGGTGGGCTGCTGCCCTGCTCCCATCCCTACCGGCACCCACCTGAGCGCCCCGAGGTGCCGGCACAGCCGTGTGCCCAGCATGGGCTGCCAGCGCTCATGGCAGGCCAGCAGCCATCCGGACCGGTCCTGCAGCCGCACCGCCAGCAGGGAGGCACCTGCCTGGATCCTGAAAGACACTGACAGCACCGACCTCACCTCCCTGCAGTGCTTCACGTGGGGCCTACGGCAAAACAAACTGCAAAGCAATCTGTAGTGAATGATAAACTGCGCATAAAACTTTTGAAGCGTTCTCAGCCCGGCTTTGCTGGGAGGGAGCATGCAAAGGTGGGACCACGCCGTGCACTGCTGCTGGGCAGCGCAGAGGGATGTAAAAGCAAAGTGAAACCATTGCAGCATGCAGCTGAGCTAAGAGAGAGGTTCAGCAGAGATTCACTATCCAGGAGTATCTCAGGTTCAGCAGGGGCAGTGGGAAGGGGGAAACCTCCTCCAGGTGCCCCGCGGACCACGGGCTGCTCCTCCTCGCCCTCACTGCATGCTGTCACAGTGTCTGATGCCTGTGGTTTGGCCAAGCCCTCGTGTGGCTGTGGGCCCCCGAGGCGCCACCCTTTGGGAGAGGAGAGCAGCAGGTGAGGAGCGCGGCTGGGCAGGGAGCTGGGCAGGGAGCTGGGGCTGTTCTGCAGGTACTGACCCAGCAGCCAGGCTCCAGCCACTGTTGCCGCCAGCAGCCCCATGACCCCGAGCAGCAGCAGCAGCAGCCTCCAGGTGGTGCAGAGTGTTTTGGCTGAGGTATTGGCAGAATCTTTAGGAAACAGAGAGAGATGAACACCGCCTCATCCATCCCTCACCCCTCTGCTCTCTGGATACATCCCCAGGTCCCTGTGCCCCTATACCTGGGACCTTCAACCCTTTGCCCCGCGGTGATGCACTGAAGCCACGGGTTCTGGAGGAGGCTGAGACCCAGGCAAGGCCCCTCGCTTCCCCTGCCCACACACAACTCACCGTGCTCCATCCTCAGCTCTGCTGCGGGGCTCCCACAGCTCTGTGCAGCATCCCCAGTGCCAGGCAGGTTGTAGGGATGGTGCTCAGCTGCATCCGGACCCAGGGGAAAGGAGCAGGGAGCAGATCAGCGACAGCCCAGGTGCCACAGAAGAGGCCAGCTTTGCTCAGCAGCACTGCTCACCATGCCAGCACGGTGCTCACAGCCACTGCTTCCCCCAGCAGCTTGGGTTTCCCTCCCCGTGCCGTGCGCACTGCAGAGCTCAGGGCGTGCTGAAGAGGCTCCTTGTTTCAGCTCCCAACCCATCTCCCAGCTGCCATCCCCCTCTCACCCCCCCAAAAGCTCCTCTGTGAGAAGCACCCAGAGCAGCCCCACAGCTGCGGGCACGTTGAGCTGGGCAGACCAGAAGGGCCAGCCCACAGCTGCTGCTTATCATCAGCCCATCTGCAGCCAGGTGCAGAAGGCCCAGGTGCTGCAGGGGAACAGCCCCAAAGCCAGGTTCCCCTTTGGTCTTCAGGCTGCAGCACACCTGGAGGAGTAAAGGTCAAACAGCAGTGGCTGTTTTTCCAATTTCTTGCTGCCTGAATGACAGATGGCTGCTGCCCTGTAGGAAGGGGAGACTTCTCAGCCCTGCAGCTTGAAAAGAAACTTCCCTTCTTTACACACTCCTCCAGCCCAGGAGGCACAGCTGATGGCTGTTACTCAAACGCTCACTGCATTTTTAATGCTGTTTACTCGAGGAAAGCCCCATGAATATTTCAGCACAGCTCCGCCCTGCAGGTTCAGCCTTGGCAGGGGACGCAGTGGAGCCAATTCCAAACACTTCATCTCGTCCCTTTGCCATCTGCCTCCGCCTGCACTGCTGGGAAGCTCCTCAACTCCGGGAGAGGAAGACAAGAGGAAGTCACGTTCAGGAGACTAAACATTTTCTCCTTGGTTATTCCCAAACACTTGGCCATAAATCCCAGCCTGGGGCCTGGATGCTGCAGCTGGCTCTGCCTGGAGCCTTTCTCTGCAGGGACGCAGTGCCAGTGCTGCAGTGTTTGTTGCCCCCACGTCCTTCTGCAGGCCACCCCGCACAACTCCACTCAAGCCAGGCAGATTCCTTTTATAATACTCTTTTTATTTGATTAAAGAATTTGTATTCTTTGTATACACTGGAATGTGCTCTATTCCCTAGGCCATTATTGTACAGGGTTACAAAAACTGGGGTCCTGGTTTTTAAATATTACCCTCTGACAAATTTAATAAAAATGCTCCTTTGATGTTTGAACTAAACTCGACTCCATTTTAAAATCGTACAGACAAGCAACTCCTGAACACAACTGAATTAATAAGATTCATCGTCTACTTCACTACAGAACAGGGTTTGCTTTCCCTCCCCCAGAACACATCACCCCCCAGGGAAAGGATCATTTACTTCCTCACTGGCGCTGTTAACAGAGGAGAGACCGCTAACTTCTTTGGCAGAGGACCCGATGGGAACCAACTCATCTCACTGCATCTCTGGGGCACAGCGCGTGGGTTCAGGAGTTCTGAGGACAGGACACCCCTCGGATTTCACCTCCACGCTCAGCCCAGCAGCCCGTCCCACACAGCAGCTGGGGAGCTGCCCTGCAGAGCGCAGTTGGTGACTGCCCCAGCGCGGGCGGCTGGGATGGATGTAGGGAGCACAGCTCTGGGGGACAAAGTGCTGCCACGCAGGCAGAGGAGGAACAGCTCTGGGTGCTGCTCGTGCTCAGACCAACCCAGCAGGCTTTCAGGAAACCAATTCCCTCTCCTCTGCTCCTAAGCACCAAGAAAGCACAGTTTGTGCCAGGTCCTAACCCCGCTCCTACTGCGCACAGGTGAAGCAAAGCAGGCTCTGTGCACACCCGCATCCTGCCAGGTAGAGCAGCTCAGCCTACCAAGGCGCTGCCACAGCCTGAGCCAGGACGTGAGCCTTGGCCAGGGAGTTTCTGCAACACGGCAAACCTTGGGACAGCCACCCTGGGTGCTGTTCTCCCCGCAGGGCAGATCGGAGCGCTCAGAGCCGCAGCCTGTGCCACCTAAACCAACACCAGGAGAGGCCCAAAGGACTCCTGCAGATCTGGGGCTGAAACTCACTGCCGTACAGCAGGGAACACTGCAATCGGGTCTGAGCAGCGAGTCCACTTCTTTCCAGATGGAAGGGTCCAGAGAAGCACTGCATCACTGAGTGCATTACCTTTATGCCTGTTTTCATCACCAGAAGCAAGAGTTGAAGGCTGAGGAGAAATTAAAATGGCAGCACCAACAACGGAACAGTGTTTGATAATTAAAAACGGGCGGGTGTGATGTCTAAGTAGGCTCTGGGACTGAGCTCCAGTCATCTTCATGGGAGATGGGGAAGCGTCAAAGCCAGGTTCTGTGCAGAGATCTTGTTCTCCTGCTAGCCAGTAAAAATCTGCCAAAGAAATTCGTAGCCTTTCCCCCCCATGAACACGTCAATTCTCTGCCAAAAATGTCTGTGACCCAGGACACTGCAGATGGCACACAGAGCCTTGTGTCTCAGCAGAGGGCTGTGGCGTTCCAAACATTCAGAATAAACTTCGGCCTCTTTTTTTTTTTTTTTTAATTTAAAAATTTCCTTTGCAATTCCCCACAGCTGGCATTACAGGATTTCGTACTTGTCCACCAGGAAGGTGGTTTCAGTAGAAAACCTTACAGGGCTGTTCCCATCCACCTGGGTCACTTTGGTAACCTGTGGAGATAACACATACAGCAAGGTCAGCATTTAACATCACTTCCCAACACAAGAAGCATGACTTTCCAACTCTGAAACGGTCAAGAAGGACAGAACCAACCCAGAACTTGTGAATCACAAGTCAGTGTTTGCAAAAGTCTCTGGCCAGAGGATGCTGAGGTAGCCTGACAGAAGTAAAATTCACTCTGTGAAGCACTAAGCCCCTGCAGGAGCCAGATACTGGTGCTGTCTGCTCTCACTCTGACAGGCAGAGGAAGGGGCAGTCTCAAACACACTGAGTGTAAGCACAGCAAGAGATCACAACACTGTAAAGAAAAAACTGTCCACAGGGGACATGCTCTTCTGAAGACAACAGCACAGCTAAAGAACATCAAGGACAGAGGCAAACACGTGGCACAAGCACAGACAGTCTAATTGCAGCTACAGCACAGTCTGCAAGCATTCCCCGGTGAGCGCGGCTCCCAGGTGACCATACCTGTATGTTGCAATAGTTCTTTTTGGAGATGAAGGAGACCTGTACTGGAAAGAAGTCATTTGGCTGCCCTGCTATGCTGAACTCCAGGCTGCCACTCTTGTTTTTGGCATCTATCACTGGCAGGCACCACTCCAGGAGATTCCTCCGGCTGTCGTGGCGATATTCGCCATCGATCTCCCCGATCACCGGGGCACCAACACCAGACCTGGAGAAGGGAAAGAGGAGTCGCAACCCCACGTCTGCACTGAGCTGAGGAAACAGCTGTCGAGCACAGAGCTTGGCCTGACCTACAAACCCAAGAGGCTCAGGAGCTGACAGGACACACGAAGGGCCAGGCACGGGGCATCACTTACGGTAGAGGGATCATGATGACCACGTCGTTCAGCTCTAGGCTCTCCTCCTGCAACTCGTATTCAATGTTAACATCGCAGCTGTTCCCACTTTCCGATGGCCAGCAGTTAACTGAGAGTAGGAGAAAATATACAACCTTTGTAGGAAGAACGGGCTTGCAAAAGGTTACCTACTTTGAAAAGCAAAGTAAAACTCTAACCAAGAAATTCTGTCAAATAAAATCTTTGCTCTCTTTGAGAATGGAAAACAGACATTGGTAATAGCAACAGCTTTTATCCAGAGGAAGGCACAGAGAAGTCTCCACCCCTTCAACCTCACAACGCACCTCACTGCGGAGCCACCCCCGCTGCTGCAAGGCCAGGTGCAAGCAGGCAGCTCACAGATGGACACCCAGCTCTTCCAGCTGAGCTCCTGCCCACCCTGCACTCACTGGTCAGTGGAATGAAGGACTCCTCCGTCGTCTGCAACCTCCACTTCAGCACACCCACGTCACTGTTAATAGGGAACGATTTCTCCGGGTTCTTCAAACCAATCTGTGACTCTGCAGTGAACAGCTTCTTGTCCACATTCGGATGAGTCTGAAACGGGGACAAAAGCCGAGGCTGAGTCAGCCATGCGGTGACTTCAAGCCTCAGGCTGACCAGTATTTCAGACAACCCACATCCCAGTAAGACAGCCCTCCACATCCCCCAGTGCCTTCCTCTGAGAAACACACCTTTGTTCT